GTTTATAAAATACTCCCTTATATGTTTTATTCTTCGTAATTATTAGTTTTAGCATTTAAGCCCGCACGGATCGGTTCCTCTGAATTTAGATTAGATGGGTGGACGAGCTCATAGCCCACCTGGTGTTAAGTGGTTACTGGAGCCCATAGACATCTACAACGCGATTGCACCACCCGCCTTGAGATAAGGTCTAGGTTGAGGAGTTCTAAGGTCTCAGTATAGTTACAACGGCTGCCCCACCCTTCAAGCCGAAACGCATTACTGCTTCACGGCAGAAATAGGCAAGAGCGGTGGTACCTACCCACGCGGACTCACAAGAGGGCCTACCACCAGTAATATAAGTACCAGTAAGCAAAGTTTCATCGAACTTGCTACATCTTGAACAAGGGGCACATATTGTACGTCGCTCGATCTATGTTACGGGCATTATCATATTTATAATAATATATTTGCGCGAAGTGTAAAACGCAAGTCAAACAGTAACGATACGTGTACGAGTATGACATCACCACGGTCTTCGCACACAAGATAAAACGACTAACTACATGAAAACGGCGTTGGTTAACATTATATGAGTGGTGCTTTATTTATAAACGTGATATTGAAACTCTTTTTTTCTCGTATATTACTACTTTATGGAAGATTCTAGATTTCGCCTTTGCTCAACTTATTTGTCCAAATATATGTTATTTGGCATCTATAGTGCACAGGAATAAGTTGTATTAAAATTTGATAGTTTTTCCAATAGCGCTATCTAGACAGAGTTGATCGGAACTAATGACCGCTGTCAATGTCATTAACAAATCTTGTAGTCCAATCGAGTCACTACTACGAAACACCGTATTGTAAAGAGGAATCCTTTCTGCTCGAGAAGAAAATCCTCTGAGGAAAACGCTGTCAGATTTAACAAGAGTATTATAAATCACGTTCACCATAATTTTTTAGGTAAATTATGTCGCGAGATGCCCTTGTGTTTAATAAGTGAGGAAGTTAGCCGCCAAGGTGATCAGAATTACAATTACGAAGCGCTTACGTGTTGTGTCCGCAACTGAAGTCATTTAAAGTAATCACTTCGTTCTTTGAAAACATCTTTGAAAATTCTGAAATCCGTATAATGTACCTTACGCTGTGGTGTGACGCAATTCAGTGTTTTATGGGGTTAAATATCACAGATTAATCCTTGAAGATATTTTTTTAATATTTTTAGTTATATTATTAGAACTGTATGATGTTATGGTACAATTTGCAGTTCTAACAACGACAGCAAATATCGCCTTCGTTTACCCATCGAATGATTGGATATCCATGTCAATTACAAACCAAAATTTATATTTTTATAAGCTGAGAATCAAAGGGCTAAAACCCCTCTTAGTCCGTCAACCGTCAGCATTCAAAACATCAGAAGAACATAACTTCAAAAAAACTATGAGTAGACAACTTGAGATTAACGAGAATAATTTTCAAATGTTTTTTATTGTACTTTCTTAGAGGATATGTGATTGCAGCTCACCTGGAGTTAATGATTACTAAGTAGTTTGCTTTGGAAACGAGCAAGACTTTTGAAAGATGCATAGAATTCATGCAACAGGTTTGTTATTCGGTGTGTGTTTGAGCAAGAAGGGTACTGGGGGGAGGCGCAACAGGTGCTAAAGCAGATGGCTGTATACATGAGACGTGGGTTGCGTTTAGGGGAACTTGGAATAAATTATACCTATACAATAATACATTACGAAACTAGCTTGATTTTTTTTAGGCGTGGATGGGAAAATCATACAGGTGATATTATTAACTGTTTCCAAGAAACCGGGTACCGTTGCAATATTAGACTTTATGATCTGGATGTTATGGTGGTATTTCAAAGCAAACCCAATTGGAATCTTAGTTGAATGCCACAATTAGGTCTATGTCAATAATTTGCTTACACATCTAAGACTAAATAACTTAACAGAGCTTTCCCAAATACGAAATAAATGGTGACACATAAAAAATGAAATCATGTAATAGAAACCGCAACGAGTCGCGGGTGAAACCGAGTGAAACAGCGCCACATGGGCACAGAGCATGTCGACCGTCAAATTAAATTCAAGTACAGCAATAATTAACCATTACCACCATACGACAAAATAACGACGATCCACACGTCCGTACAATTTACTCTAAATTCAAGGTTTCGATATTTTTGTTTTGGTATCAGAATTTATTATGGTAGAAATGTAATTGGTCATTTCGTATTTTGAGCACGGGTTTGGCATTTTATTTGATGGTAATTTCCTCTAACGATTTCATAATAGTTTGTTCGTTTGTCCCTTTCAAGAAGACATTAGGCTGGACAAGATTGGGCTAACATTTTGCAATAACCATGCATATTTAATTTTATATAGACCGGAAATTAACATACTATATATAATATGTAGAAAGGCTTTCGATGACGGAAAACGAGAGTTCAATTAATTTAAGGCAATCAAAACCTGATGTCCGTGCTTAGTACATGACACCAATCTATTTAGAAGTCATCCTAGATTTGCATGAATTTCTTCTTTACTTATCCACTACTACCACTACTAACTGTGTGTTACAAGAGACATCTTGCAATAAAATAGGTCGAAGATAAAATAGGTGAAGTCGTCGTGGCCTAACGGATAAGACGTCCGGTGCATTGAGCGAGGCACCGGTGTTCGAATCTCAGGCGGGTACCAATTTTTCTAATGAAATACGTACTCAACAAATGTTCACGAATGATTTCCACGGTGAAGGAATAACATCGTGTAATTCAAATTCAAATTCAAATGAAACCCGCAAAATTATGATTTGCGTAATTACTGGTGGTAGGACCTCTTGTGAGTCCGCGCGGGTGGGTACCACCACCCTGCCTATTTCTGCCATGAAGCAGTAATGCTGGGTGGTTAGTAAAGGTGGGTGGCGCATTTACGTTGTGGATGTCTATGGGCTCCAGTAACCACTTCACACCAGGTGGGCTGTGAGCTCGTTCACCCATCAAAGCAATAAAAAAAAATAGGTTTCTTTTAAAACTCATAAATTTATTATAACAACATATTCAATATAGCAGATTAGTTACTTCAACAGGAAAATGGCATGTGAACTTAAAATTTATTATTAATTCCGAGGTCAAAGTTGAAAAAGCAACGGTATTTTTTTGTAATTACAAACCTGGTTTCAGTCACAAGGAAAGACCTTGGTTTTTCAAACGACTTAAGGCTCTTATGTCGTACGTTTTATATAAGGTAACAACAGATGATTCTTCGCGATACAACAAACATTTTGGTCAGTGCTTAGTAATGCTTACCACACCGTACTGACAATTTCTAGTTCTAGTCATTACAGTATATTATATTATATAGTGATCTGAAAATGTTTAGTGTTACTTTTTTTATGTATTGTTTATATGGGTGGACGTGCCCTACCCGGTTTTAAGTGGTAACCGGAGCCCTTAGACATTCTACAACGTAAATGCTGCCACCCACCTCGAGGCAAGAGTTGTAATTCTCAGTTTTAACAGTACAACGGATGCCCCTCCCTTCAAACCGAAACGCATTACTGCTACATTTATACATGTATTGGAGAAGAGCTAAGCCTGATGATTTTCTTGCCAAATTGGTGATAAAATTATGACCATTTACAAGTGCCTGTAAAGGTCTAGTCGAATAAATAAAAAACAATTTAATTTCATTTACTTAATGTGATGATGGTTCAATTATTTATAAGACAGGTTTTGCGACTCCGGTCGCCACGAGTTTAGTTCTACTTATTTCCGACCTCCGTCTCCATAGGTTTAATATCCTCGTTGTATCTATCAAGAAATGAGTCATTAATTTGTAATAATACCCCGATAATCTAATAGTGTCGTGTCATTGCGATGCACTCCATGATAACATTTTTTATTGCCCTTGTAGGCTGACGAGCATACGAACCACCTGATGATGAGAGGTTACCGTCGCCCATGGACTTCAGCAATGCCAGGGGCAGAGCCAAGCCGCTGCCTACCGCAAAATACTTGCAATACTTCGCACAGTCATACGTTTTGATCTGAAGGACTACCTACAGGAAAACAGTGGTATATGATTGCTATATTTTGTTGCATTCAGCTAAATAGGGCGCCTACGTGGTACAACAGTATGTAAAAGTTATTTTCAAAAGAAATATAGTTATTAATTAAAATTAAAATATTGCGACAATGACATGGGACCCGTGAGCTCCAGTGGCGAATTAAAACCACTTTGGCCGCGATCTCTTCTATCAATCTACGACAATAGGACTTTTAACTGGAAATTCACACCATTAAAATTTTATTTGAATTAAATATTAAAACATACCTAATTACCACGGAAGTAATTGAAAATCCTGTATTAGGTACTGTTTATTTGGCAAAAAAATACGATCAGCTCTATAAAAAGTTTTAATGTTCGAATCCGGATAAGTACAAGTGTATACATAATACATATTATATAATTTACAAAATCCGGGTAGGTCTTCAATGCGCAATGTGCTCATCAGGGCTCAATATATGCAGTACTAAATCGTTTCACCACTAATAATGTAGTCTGAGTTTTAAAAAAACAGCATAAAAGTTGTGCGAACGGTTAATTCAAATGTTAACCACAGCGCGAAAGCGAAAGGGGACCCCTTGGCGAAACAAGGCATTCTTCCCGTCTCATTTTGTAGGCGGGAATCGAGCGGGATAGATGATTGAGACGACTCGACCGTCCGTTGGGAACGTTCGAGTTGTGGAAATATTGATTTGAAAAAAAAAAGAACTAAAACGTGACTCCATCTTGGTCGAAGCGATGACATCAGCGAAACTTATGACTTTGACCAACATCGTGATATTCCTGTAAGTTACCTACCTCTGTGTTTGACTAAATATTACTTCTTAAATTGTTACAGAGGCTTCGCATAATTACGAAGATCAAAGTTCAAGTTTAGACATCCAATAATCTTCCATTTTGTTCTAGCAAAACGCAACTAAAAATTGTATAACTGACCTGTTTTCCTCCGGCAACCATTTTGATAGTTATGATCACACACACACAGCGGATAAGATCACAAGCACTTTGTGTATAATATTCTTAAAAGGGGGTAGTTTAAAACCGGCACTTGAGCCGCGTCTGTCTGACGCGGCGCTGTCGTTTGAACTGAACGAAACGATACGAAATAATACGAATGGTCGTGGACGAGCGCGGGGATGAGCAAGCGCCGGTGCGCCCCGACCTCAAGGTCGCGCTTACCTCACTCAAACCAGATGCTGGCAACATTTTATTTTAATAAAATACGAATTTCATTAAACTTATACTTGTGTTTATTGGCTTAAATGGATGAACAAGCTATCAATATTCAAGGGAAATTGCTCACTTATGTAGTCTCTTAGGGCTATCCTATCTTAATTGCGGCATAAATAGACAAGACCTTAGTGCCAAACTTGATCGAGCTCAGAACATCCGATAAATCAGCTCAAGGGCAGCCGCTTCGGGTGTGAATCTACCAGCAGATCGGAATTTCGTCCGTCGTGAAACTCAGCGGACTGATCAGGCGGGTTGTCGGCAATTTGAAGAAAGTTTCTGTTATCAATAGCACGGTCAAGTCCCGACAGGTGGCACGCGGCAAGTGTATAATGAACAACAAATGTTGATAGCACCAGCCGCAGACAATAATACCGCCTACGGTTCCTTTGCTTTTTTTTTCTTTGTACAACAAATCCGATCCGCGTACCATCCACTCGCGGTGACGTACATACATAAGTACATGGCAACAGTAAGTGAGATTGTATTTATACGTACGAGTCTGATGTAATTAGTTTATTTTCGTTAAACATCATTTTATTTCTTGGTCAAGGTTAATCGAGAAACTTTCCTTTCTTTTGTTTAGTTACAATGGTAGACGGGCGAGCAGAAAGTAAACATATCGGGAGTTTTATTACTCGATTACGAATATAAAAGGGTTGTTATTTAAACTCTGTCTAAACGGGGCGCACTTTTTAGCGTACACGGACAGGCGTACTCATGATATGATGGCTAATGCTAGTCTACCTGGGAAGGCCTTAAAAATAAAACAACGTGTAAATGGTTTTCAGTTGAAGTAACCTTTTGATATAACATGTTTATTGTTATACTAGCGGCCCGCTCCGGCTCCGCTCGGGTCTTTAACAAAAATTTCAACTATATTTGACATTGTATTATTTAAAAAAATAAAAGAACACTTATTGCGGCGTAACTATAATAGTTTTGATTCTATCATTAATAGTTTTTGCAGGGCACGCGGTGTAAAGAATATTTAGGTATTCTTTTTATACCTTGGGTTACATTATTGGAATTTTAGTAAGGATCCCTAATTTTTTTCAAAAAAGATTATAGCCTATGTCACTCGGGAATAGTGCAGCTTCCAAATAGTGAAAGAACTTTTTCAAATCGCTTCAGTACTTTCGGAGCCTATTCAATACAAACAAACAAATTTTTCCTCTTTATAATATTAGTATAGAAGTATAGATATGTTTTAAATTAAAATAGTACAAAAACACTGTTTACAAGAAACGTCGGACAATGCGACCATAAATCATAAACACATGATAACAAGTCTAAAGCATCACTTGTACTCCCCCTAACGTTTGACCTTCGGAGAACGACTGCGGTTAAATTGTTGTTTTGTTACCACAAGTCGGAATACGCTCGGAATGAACCTGGTGCCACTGCATACTGCTATAACTTGTCACGTGAATATCTCAGAGTAGACTCGAACATATTTAATTTTTTTTATCATTTTCATTATCATGAAATGAATTCACAATTTTTTATTTTTTTATTGCTTAGATCGGTGGACGAGCTCACAGCCCACCTGGTGTTAAGTGGTTACTGGAGCCCATAGACATTTACAACGCAAATGCGCCACCCACCTTGAGATATAAGTTCTAAGGTCTCAGCGTAGTTACAACGGCTGCCCCACCCTTCAAGCCGAAACGCATTACTGCTTCACGGAAGAAATAGGCGGGGTGGTGATACCTACCCGTGCAGACTTACATGAGATCCTACCACTAGTAATTAAATTTCCTGGCTGAATATTTTAAGTGTCTTCTAAAAAAACTACAATACAAAGCAACAGCTAAGATTTGCTTATATGGACGAACTAAGCTATAGGCACAGCCCACCAAGTTTCTCGTCGGATCTTTTCAGTGGGTCGCGAATCCGATCCGGTGGTAGACTCTGCGAAGCACCGCTCTTGCTAGGGCCAGTGTTAGCAAATTCTCTGAGGGTTGAGCCCGTGAGCTCATCTACCCGCTCTGGCGTAGCTGGAATAGACCCAGCGAAAAGGTAGGGGGAAAAAAATTGACGTTATGAAATACTTATTATAGAGAGAATTGCGTCTTCTGATCAAATAATGACGTCAATATTCAAGTGCGTGCATTATACAAATTTTACACCAACTTTCGCACTACGGGAAAAGGACAGAGCATCTATAAATCCACACGAACACATCTAAACACTTATTTTCCAGTAAGTATTTTATTTCAAACTACTGAAACACGGTCAAGCTTTGTTGTGACTGTCGCTAGTTGCATGAAAAACAATTTCTTGAAAATATTCGCAGGCCAAATGGTACGATGATGATACTATGACAGAAACCTTCAGCCTGAAGTGCCATAAAACAACTGCATTTTTTTATCACAGATTTAGGAACGTATTGTTGTATAAATATGCACTAAATGCCTGCCTGCTTTGTCTGTGTTCGCAATAACAAGATGAAGCTCGAAGGACTAAATTCGGAGAGGACCGATTGTTTGAAGTTCGTTAATTTCGGTTTATTGACACAATGTATACGCCCTCTTATCCTGGCCGCCGCTAATTACCCGACTGCGACGGGGCAAGGCAAAGCCGCCGTCTCCCGAAACATGTCTTGTCGGATCCCCCGGATTCATTCTGGTGCTTTTGGGACTCTCAAGCACCGGTCACCGTCCGAGCGAACTAACCCATAGACAGCCCACTGAGTTTCTCGCTGGATCTTCTCAGTGGACCGCGATTCCGATCCGGTGATAGGTTCTGCGAAGCACTGCTCTTGCTAGGGCTAGAGTTAGCAGATTCTCTCTTAGGCTACCACCGAATTTATAGGGGAAAAAAATCGGAGAGGACCGACTGTTTGGAGTTCGCTATATTCGATTTATTGACCCAATGTATACGCATTAAATGGCGTATAGTCTAGAAGCCACACGAGGGAACACAATATACACATGCATACATACACTAATAAATAATAACCCACTTTAGCATTGCCTAATCAGGTAAATACTCATGACGAACTGTCATGGAAACAACATTAGGAATTTTGTATTAGAAAAGTTTTAAAATGTAAAATAAAAACCGGGTTGAATTGAAGAACAGACATCAATCGACTAACCGGTTTTTCCCTGATACGTTATCAACATTTAGTGCTATTAAATAACGTTGTTGTAAAATTTACTTTTAGTATATTTCATTCACTTTAAAAATGGTTTTGTTTTTATTATTATAGCTCTATGGACAAAAGGGATTACGGCTCATCTGATGTTAAGCGATTACCGGAGACCATAGACCGCGACGTGGATTGCCCTTCCAACCATTTATTTAGATAGGAGCCTGGTACTTACCTGGTACCTACCTAGCACCTGGAAGCTGGAGGACGGTACCGTTTTTTAAAACTCAATTTATCTATCATTTATGAACATTAGGCCAAGCTCACTCACGAGTGTTCTAAGAACTGTTCGGAATTTTGGTTATATATATTTAATCAACAAACATAGAACTTAGGAATATACAAACTAACTTGTACTATAGACATAGTATAATGCTCGCTAACTAGATAAGTGTGTCCCACTTTCTTGCTTCCTTCCTTTGACACACATAACATATTGACTACACTATTTACATATTACACAATACATTACATGCATAATTCAGCATGCATTGGTTATGAAATTTAATAAAATTATCAATAGGCATAGGGCAGACAGATATATTTTATGATCGCTTATGGACTTATTTTATGATAGGGTCATAAGCACACTGTGAGGGTACTTTAATAACTGGAGTTTAATGGAACTTGGTAATAATGATCTCTGGAAAATCACTCAGGATGGAAGGAATAATCTTGAGAAATTTATATTAATTTTACCTAATTCTTAATTTAATTCCCTAGAAATGCAGAAAGGAAGAATTTCTTTAAATTCTACCTGTAAAAGGATTAAATAGAAATATTAAAGATTTGATTTAAAAATAAATATAGCAAATCTGACAACACTGATGAAAAATTACAGGGCACCCATAGCTACAAGTACAAAGTTGATTCGAAACTAGCCACATACATAAATATCACATTAAAATTGGATATCAGGCAAAATATACTCACACAAATCACATAGGATAAAACAATTTATTAACTAGCACTGAAATAATAATCAAAATGGATCAACGTACTTAAAAAAACACATCAAACTATAGGTAATCAAACGTAATATATTATTACTTGGACCACAATCTTTAACAAACACTACATTAATCATTGTTGTATGTAAAATTCTACATTCCATTTACAAGCAAAACTTAGAATCAACTAACCAAACTATTATCATTTGATCCAAGATCTAGAGCATGGGTTATGTAATTGAGAATCTGAAAATGTAAGGATTTTTAATGTTTATTTTTTATAATTGTCAACACACACAATGGTATCAGTATTCAAATAAATTTAAAAGTGGACCAAACTTTATTTTTTTTAAATTTAATTGCATACAAAATGATTCAATTATCAGCACATGTGAAATTTTCAGCAATAGTCATCAATTTTTTATGGAAAAAAAATAAAGTTACTATTTTAGAGTTTAGTATAAATTGAGACAGAGTTCATTCAAAAAATAACTTAGCTCACACTAAAAAACATACGGACATTGGTATTTTTCATGAATAAATATATTTTTGATAAGACCTTTACTGTATCTTGGGTTTCAGATTTTCAAAGATATTGGTTGGAGAGACCATACAATATGGTAAGAAATATACAAGTTGTTACTTGTGAGGAACATATACCTTTTTGTTTTTATCTGTATTTAATTAATCTGCTGTGCTGCTTCTAGTGAGAACAGTCTTTCAACTTTATATTCATCATGGCTATGTAGGTTCATAGG